ACTTTGCCGCATTGGCACTTTGCCGCATTGGCACTTTGCCGCATTGGCACTTTGCCGCATTGGCACTTTGCCGCATTGGCACTTTGCCGCATTGGCACAGCGCTGCATTGGCACTTTGCCGCATTGGCACAGCGCCGCATTGGCACAGCGCCGCATTGGTACAGCGCTGCATTGGCACTTTGCCACATTGGCACAGCGCTGCATTGGCACTTTGCCGCATTGGCACAGCGCTGCATTGGCACTTTGCCGCATTGGCACAGCGCTGCATTGGCACTTTGCCGCATTGGCACAGCGCTGCATTGGCACAGCGCTGCATTGGCACTTTGCCGCATTGGCACAGCGCTGCATTGGCACAGCGCTGCATTGGCACTTTGCCGCATTGGCACAGCGCTGCATTGGCACAGCGCTGCATTGGCACTTTGCCGCATTGGCACAGCGCTGCATTGGCACAGCGCTGCATTGGCACTTTGCCGCATTGGCACAGCGCTGCATTGGCACAGCGCTGCATTGGCACTTTGCCGCATTGGCACAGCGCTGCATTGGCACAGCGCTGCATTGGCACTTTGCCGCATTGGCACAGCGCTGCATTGGCACAGCGCTGCATTGGCACTTTGCCGCATTGGCACAGCGCTGCATTGGCACAGCGCTGCATTGGCACTTTGCCGCATTGGCACAGCGCTGCATTGGCACAGCGCTGCATTGGCACTTTGCCGCATTGGCACAGCGCTGCATTGGCACAGCGCTGCATTGGCACTTTGCCGCATGTTTCTGGGCTACGTCTAGACTGCAGGCTTCCTTCGGAAGAAGCTTTTCCAGAAGAGATCTCCCAGAAAAACGTCTTCCGACAGAGAGCGCCCACACTGCCACGGCGCAAGGAGAAGTGATCTGCTTGTTCAAAAGAGAGCGCCCACGTTGACTGGACGCCATCTCGCGCGCAGGTTCTGATTACTGTGGACAGAGTGGCCGCCAGGGCACCAGGGCTTTTTCCTGGAGGCTCTTTCAAGAAGCTTTTCCAGAAGAGATCTCCCAGAAAAACGTCTTCCGACAGAGAGCGCCCACACTGCCACGGCGCAAGGAGAAGTGATCTGCTTGTTCAAAAGAGAGCGCCCACGTTGACTGGACGCCATCTCGCGCGCAGGTTCTGATTACTGTGGACAGAGTGGCCGCCAGGGCACCAGGGCTTTTTCCTGGAGGCTCTTTCCGCGTCCACACGCCTTTTTCCGAAAAGGGCTCCTTCCTCGTACAAAGAGGTTCACCGCTGTCGGAACCCCCC